TGTTGACGGTTTATTGTTATGAAAAGGAACTACAGTAGGTTAATTGTGGATTGGTTTTATATGAGAGAAAAATGGATCCCTGCTAAATTTGTTTACAATCCAGGTATTCTGTGATGAAGAGGTGCTGGAAGTTGGCTCCAGATGAGAGACTGAGGTTCAGTGACCTGGTGGTCAGACTGGACAAGACCCTCCAGTCAGTGGCTGGCTATGTGGAGCTCTCCATGACTCTGGAGAAGCTAGGCCTTGGGGAGGAGGAGGAGGACTGGACTGGGTATGAGGTGATGGAACCTGCACTACATGAAGCTGGTAAGATCTAGATACTGATATTGTGTGACCTATTATATTATAATACTGCCCTTTTTCAGCTGAAGAAGAGATTTGGGTCGATTCTAATCCTAGCTATGGAACAAAAGTTGTGATCAAGTGAAGGACTGGTCATGACAAAACAACCCGCTAAATATACTCTACAGATCAAGAATAACGTTTATAAACAGTGACTCTGTACTGTGTATGATTTAGAGAACACTAGTCTAATAGACAGGGAATAAAATAATGCTGCTTGCAGCAATCAAAGCTAGTTGACATAGACAAATTGACCAGCAATTTAGCAGCGCAGCTAGAGAGCGCCGGCGCCGGGGATGCGCATGCGCAATTTGCATTACTCCTGATGCTGCTTCCGGTCGGTGAGCGCTACTGCAGCGCGGCGCGTGTGCGTACGTTGTGTCAGTCAAGTTCGGTAGGAGAAGAGAGATGGGCGTTAGGTTAGTAGGAAGAGTGTTTGTTCTACTCTGCGCGCTGCAGGGGAGCATTGGCCAGCTAGAGTTGGCGAGCTACTCGTTGGACGTGCCTCCGAACAGCGGCAATAATACTGTGGCGGTCAACACGGAGAATGGAGAGGTGTTTATCGCTGCAGGCAACCAGCTACTGCGACTGAGCCGCAGCCTTGACCTACTGGAGACTGCTAATGTCAGTGGAGACGATCTCTTGATTGGACTAGCTCTAAGTCCTGACGGCAGTAGACTAGTGGGGTGTCAGGGAGGAAGCTCGAGGACTGTTTCGTGTACGACACTAGCAACTTGAGCAGTGGACCCAATGCAACTGTTGAGAACGCTCACTACAATCCACAGAACGGTCTGGCTATTGTTACCACTGCTGATAGTTTCTACCTGGGCAGTGAGGGCCCATTTGGTCAGCCAGGGGGAAATGATAACATCTACTTAGCTCAATACAGCTACACCTCAGAGGTAGTGCGAACAACTGGAGACCAGAGATTCAGAGTCGAGACCGCCGATTTCACTAGACAGTTTTACGGAGGTGTTAGCAGAAACAACTACGTGTACTTTTTTGTAGCGGATCGAGGGCAATTTGACGTTTTTCGTGTTCTCCGAGTGTGCGACTGCGCCATGGAGCAGGCATGTAGTAGCAGTGAGTTTGAGGCACTGTATGAACTGGCTGTGGAGTGTAGCAGTTCTGCAACTCAAAACACCAGAATATGTGGAACTGATCTGGTGGAATCCTTTGCTGGACAGGCTGGGCCGTTTGTAGTGGTGACTCGCTGTGAAGATGTGGTTAGTGGTGGCCGAAATCGTGTCTGTGCCTTCAAACTTGCTGATATTGACAATGACATGGACACATATTTCAACGAATGCAAGTCTGGACAGCAATCTGAATCTGAGCCTCCTTGGGAGCCTCCAAGATCTTGTTCAGATTTTACTAGTACTGTGAGTTAAAGTTGATCTACTTTTTTGAAATATTCCATACCTGTCACTACTGTTCGCAGGAAGCCATGGCTTGTGATTTTGGTGATCCCCGTGTTATTAGTGATACTGGGAGATCTAATGCAGAAAGATATGCATTTCGGTTGGTTGATGCTGGTAATTTTCTTATAAACGCCTCTCTAGCAATCTTTGTGGAAGAAGTCAGTTTAGTGTATGTTGCCTATGATGGAGACATTGAAGTGGTGAGTATATATTTTGTAGCATGGAGATTTGTATTGCTTTCCCATTTCCATGCAGTATCAAGTAGAAACAACAAATACCAATGATCCAACTGGTTCTCTGTTGCAAACAATCGATAATGTCCCATCAGTGCAAGACATTGGCTGGGAAGAGGGATCAGACAACATAACTATTACCACAGACAACCAGGTACACCAATATTTCACCATTTACTGTAACTATTCATCTTTATCATGTGCCATAGGTCTTTCTGTACCCTCTGGAGACGTGCTCAGAGTCATCGTCATGTGGGAGTGCACAGAAGAAGACTCATTTCCTCTGTGTGGGTGGTGTACAGTGGAGGACAAGTGTTCTCGGAGGTCTCAGTGTCTCGACAGCTCTCAGCCAGGGAGATGGGTGCAGAGCTCCAGTGAGTGTATCTCCACGTCTGTCTCTCCAGCCCAGTTCATTCTGGACTCCCCCACCATTGTGAGTGAAGCAACTTGTACCTACATTTCAAAGACATTTTCCTTTCCAGTTGGATGTGACAGCCACCTCACCCCTGCCAGAGAATTTGACATACAATTGCTCATTCTCGGCCCCTGGAGAGAAGTTTCCACTAGTAGTCCCTGCTATTGAGTTTGGTAGCAGGCACTCAGTACCAGTGTAATATCACTAATGTAGCTACTTCTCTGGACTCAGTCAAAGCAAGGTGCGATAGATACAAAACCTAAAACTTGTACCAAAATCATGCTCTTTCATTCCTACAGTTACCCACTTCAGCTTTGTCAGTGTTGAAGTTGGCGTACCATTTGCTACCAGTCAAAATGCCCTCACAATCTACAACTGCAGTGCAGCTAAAAGGTTGGTAGGTTCGCATGGTAATGAGCGTCTTGGTCAAGATTTGTGTCTTGTTCTTCCCTCAGTTGTGTGGAATGTCTGGATACAGAGGGAGCCTGTGGCTGGTGTCTCTATGGAGGAATTTGCAGTGGGATATCAGAACCCTTGTCCCGTGCCTGAAGGAGTGAACAACTCGTATCTCACAGTGAGCTCTCAGTCATGTGTGAAACAATGAGCAATACGCCTGTTTTTCCCCTCACAGCTTGGACCAACTGAAGTGTGTCCTGTTGTAAATTCAGCCCCGACAACTGGAAACTATACTCAACCAGTCAATGTGGCAAGAGACCTGGTCCTACAGACCAGCAACCTGCCGTCCCCTGTGAGTTGAGGCGAAATCCAGTGGTGTCATGTGACATTTGGCATGGCTATACATTCTACAGGTGGATGGTTTCCGATATGAATGCAGCATAAATGGAAAGAATTTTGAAGCAACTCTCAACGTGTCTGAAAACACAGTTACTTGCCTCATACAAGAGAGAGTAAGTGTTTCTCAAGTTCACTGAGGATCTATTATCACCCTCTCTATGTGTTCAGATGCTTGAAATATCGTCAGGTGAAGAGACTGTGCCTTTGGAGTTGATATGGACCAACGATACCGTCTCTTATGCTCTGAGTAGAAATCCAACTGACATCATGTGTTAGTTCACTTTTCAGTTCATTTGGTTCTGGAAAATGGCATCTTGTGTCCTTTTGCAGGTGTCCTGTATAATTGTAGAGTATTGGAGACTAGTTGCTCATCTTGTCTGGGAGAAGACAAGACGACGGATTTGATTGTGGCTGGTGCTCTGATGAGTGTTCAGTTGTGGAAGAATGCAGTGCTACTTTGTCCACCACAACTATCATGTGTCCTCGGCCGATAATTGACTCAGTCCAGCCCAACAGAGGACCCACAGCTGGAGGGACTCGTGTTAGCATCTCTGGCACTGATCTTGGAGCCTCTTATGATGATATTATACAGAATGTTACACTTCAATTGGGTGACAGCGTTACTAATGTTAGTTGTTCAGAAGCTGAATACGTTACAGGCCAACAGATTGTGTGTGTGACTCCGAACGTGATGTCACCTGGAAACTATATGTTGAATGTTCGCATCCGACGTGAGACAAATGAAGAGATGGTCAGCGCTGCGTACTCTTATGAAGAACCTGAGCTGACTGCAGTTGATCCTACATTTGGACCGAAATCAGGAGGAATCGAAGTTGTGATCAGTGGTGGCAGTCTGAGTATTGGGAACATGGAAAACACTGCAGTCAAACTCGGTGACAGTGACTGTGCCATCACATAGTGAGTATTAATCCTGAAATGTTGGTGTTGTGATTGCTGTTTGTGTGTCACAGCTTTAACGATTCGAGGATCATTTGTAAGTCTGGAGGATTTAAAGGAAGCAACATTTCTGAAGCAGTGTTAGCAGCTGTAGTGGTTATGATTGACAATGCCAATGTCAGTGGAGAAGGTGTGGGTTTACTTTCGGAGAAGACCCTGTTTTCATGAGTGTCAGCCCTCAACGAGTCATTCCTGCGTAAGCATTCTTTTCACATGCAGAGCAGTGATAAGTATTCACCAACTTTTCACTACTAATTATTGCAGGGGTGGTATCGATTTGATTTCATCGGAACGAACTTTGATGTTGTGGTCGAACCTGTGTTTGTTTATACTGACGCAAGGCTGTGGGGGTAAATGATACATATGTCAGTTATTGTGTGGCTATTTGCTGTATACTCATTACAGGAGGTTGGACGGTGTAATGGAGCAGAGGGTAACACAATGATCTGCAGTCTCCCAAGGTTCACCACTCAGGAACCCGATCTGACAAATATCAGCTACACCGTGAGATTTGGAGATGCTCCGGGCCCAAACAGAACAAGAGCAGAGTTGACACTGGAATCACGACCTGATCCCAGTGTTCCCAGAAGACGGCACTGCTCTCTCTCAGACAGAGTTCTTCCCTGGCTCTGGGGCCGCTCTCACCATCTCTGTGAGTTGAAATTCTCAAACACTTTCTTGATCTACTTGCACATGGTCTTTCTCTTGTTCCCTCAGTTTGCAGGTATACACATAATACCTCTCATTTCAATCCATAGTAGAAGCTTTTGAGTGTCTAGTTGACTTGTTTGCTTTGCCTTTGCCAGTGTTGACACAGCCTCATGTCGATTCTCCCTCCAGGGGATGTTCATTGACAGTGTTGAGAATGGCGAGATACGTGTGACAGTTGGCGGAGAGGAGTGCGAGGCCAGAATATCAGGAGATAATGATCCCAACTCAGTGAGCTCTGAGCTTTTCTGCAAGATTCTAACTTTATCTTTTCCTCTGTGTTTCTCTTTCATTATTCCAGTACACATGTTTTGTACCAAGGGATCCCCCAAATGGAGTCAACGATGCCAACGTTATTGTAAATGCAAAATCATTTACTATTGTCTATAGTCGTTCCAAATATCTCTTTGTTTTTACAGGTTATGGTTGGCCAAAATTTGAGGTATGAAATTGGTACAGTGACATATGAAGGAGAAACTAGTCCAAGTGAAGAAGGAGCTTCAAACACTGGGGCCATTGTTGGTTCTGTTACAAGTGTCCTCGTGGTTCTGAGTGGGGCATTATACTCATCTTGGTTCTATTTGTTGTCTTCAAGAGAAAGACTTCGGCAAACGAAACTCTGCTTGCCAATCGTTTTGCTCATCAAGAGATGGTTGAGACAAAAGGAGGTATTGTTTATGTTGACAAGATCTGCCCTTAATGTTAAATTTTTCTACCAGTATTTCGTTCTAGTGAGGCTGGAGATGGAGCAGGTTAATATTTCCTTCTAACTGATGATTTTGGTTTGTACTAACAAATTATTCCAGCAATGGATATGGCCAGGGAAGAGCTGAAAAAGTTAATACCGCAGAGACTGCACATTCCTGGTAGTCATCTTCGTCTGCTGGACAGTGTTGGACATGGTCAGACACTAGACACACCTTGGTTTGCTCATCCATGCATGCTCCACAGGAGAATTTGGTGAGGTCTATAAGGCACACCTAATTGGGCTTGAAAAGCAGCGTGCTGTGGCTGTCAAGACACTTAGAGGTACATAACACTATAAGAGCCAGTTTATTTAGGACTAGTGTTACCTTTCTCTCCCAGGGTTGTTTTCGGCCAATGATGTGCAGCAGATCTTGCAGGAAGTTGTGAAGATGAAAGATTTCAAACATCCTCATGTCATGCCACTGATTGGAGTGTGCCTTGATTCTGGAGTGGGTGTGGTCATGCCTTTTATGGCAAATGGTAGCATCCTGAGCTACCTGAAGAAAGAGAGAGGGACACTTTTGCTTAATGAAGATGCTGAAATCGAACAAGTAAATATTATTGTTGCCCTTCAAATTTTACGTCATACTTGTGTCAGATTGTTCCAGTTCGCAAGCTGCTAATGAGGATGTGTCTGGAGATAGCTAAAGGAATGGAGTATCTGGCAGAGCAGAAGTTTGTGCACAGAGATCTGGCTGCAAGAAATTGCATGTGAGATACTGTCTGTCCATAGTACACACTGGCAGCTCAGAATAGCTTGCATACTAAGTAATGTATATACTTTAACACTGTTGTGCAGGTTAGACCATAGTGGTTGTGTGAAGGTTGGTGACTTTGGTCTGGCGGAGGATATCTACAGCACAGGCTACGTGAGAGAAGACAATAGGACTGTCAAGGTCCCCTACAAATGGATGCCTCCGGAGAGCTTGGAAGACGCCCTCTTTTCTGAACTGAGTGATGTGGTGAGAAATGAAAACTGCATTGTCGGAAACTCCTATAATACGCACTTTGACTTATGCAGTGGTCGTATGGAGTGACATGTTGGGAGATCTTCACAGTTGGTAAGACCCCATACCCAGCTCTGGACCCCCCGACTCTACTGCGGATGCTGAAGGAAGGACATCGTTTAGAGCATCCTGACAATACCGCATGTTCTCCTGAAATGTAAGGATCTTGCCAGATCTGTTAGTTTTTCCCACAACACTCCTTCAACACACACATTTTGAGCAACTGTTGAGAGTTTATTGTTATGAAAAGGAACTACAGTAGGTTAATTGTGGATTGGTTTTATATGAGAGAAAAATGGATCCCTGCTAAATTTGTTTACAATCCAGGTATTCAGTGATGAAGAGGTGCTGGAAGATGGCTCCAGATGAGAGACTGAGGTTCAGTGACCTGGTGGTCAGACTGGACAAGACCCTCCAGTCAGTGGCTGGCTATGTGGAGCTCTCCATGACTCTGGAGAAGCTAGGCCCTGGGGAGGAGGAGGAGGAGGACTGGACTGGGTATGAGGTGATGGAACCTGTACCATATGAAGCTGGTAAGATCTAGATACTGATATTGTGTGACCTATTATATTATTAATACTGCCCTTTTTTTCAGCTGAGGAAGATATTTGGGTTGATCCTAATCCTAGCTATGGTACAAAGGTTGTGATCAAGTGAAGGACTGGTCATGACAAACCAACCCCCTAAATATACTCTACAAATCAATACGTTTATAAACAGTGACTCTGTACTGTGTATGATTTAGAGAACTCACTCTATACTAATCTAATAGACAGGGAATAAAATAATGCTGCTTGGAGTAATCAAGGCCATATAGTTGACATGGAGCAGCACTGTAGAGAGAGAGAGAGCCCCGGCGCCGGGGCTGCGCATGCGCAATTGTCATTAACTAACTCCTGATGTTTCCGCGATCCGGTGTGCGCGCGCTATGCTACAGTGTGCGGCGTGAGCGTTTTTACACATTTTCGCACCCGGTGCCATGCGATATGCGCCGATCGATCTAGGCAGCTAGAGAACTCTCCTGCATTCGACGGCATGCGCTGCAACCTTCGTTGACTGACCGAGGCTGTATATACCTCTTCCCAATCTTCATGGTTCGAAGGTGCAACTTCCTAATAAGATAGGCTTGCTCGTGCAGATACTGCTGCATGCCTGCTGCCTGGTGGACCACGACTGACGGGTTGAAAGCGTAAGGTAAGTATATACCGTTCTGCTCACCTGCTCACCGTTCTGCCAATGTAAAATACGCATGTAACGGCGACAGGTAGATCTGTCATGCTCCACGAAAGGAAAGCTGTGCACTGACGGCACGTTATGCAGCCCGAACATCGCGGGCAAATCCCAACTTGGGTCGCTCGATCCCGCTCGCCAACAATGTTCAACATTTCCACTAGTAGTGTGTTGTGTGCAAAAATACGATGCAGAGCTCTGTTTTGCGATTGCAACACTTTTGTAATACGCATGCGCGCAATTTTGATGATGCGTCTAGCTAGCTAGCTTCCGGTGCGCCGGCCGCGAAGTGAGCGTGTGTCGCAGTTCATTGGCTTTGGAGAAGAAAGATGGGCGTTAGGTTCGTAGGAAGAGTGTTTTTTCTACTCTGCGCGCTGCAGGGGAGCATTGGCCAGCTAGAGTTGGCGAGCTACTCGTTGGACGTGCCTCCGAACAGCGGCAATAATACAGTGGCGGTCAACACGGAGAATGGAGAGGTGTTTATCGCTGCAGGCAGCCAGCTTCTGCGACTGAGCCGCAGCCTTGACCTACTGGAGACTGCTAATGTCAGTGGAGACGATCTCTTGATTGGACTAGCTCTAAGTCCTGACGGCAGTAGACTAGTGGGGTGTCAGGGAGGAAGCTCGAGGACTTGTTTCGTGTACGACACTAGCAACTTGAGCAGTGGACCCAATGCAACTGTTGAGAACGCTCACTACAATCCACAGAACGGTCTGGCTATTGTTACCACTGCTGATAGTTACCTGGGCAGTGAGGGCCCATTTGGTCAGTCATCGGTAAATGATAACATCTACTTAGCTCAATACAGCTACACCTCAGAGGTAGTGCGAACAACTGGAGACCAGAGATACAGAGTCGAGACCTCCGATTTCATTAGACAGTTTTACGGAGGTGTTAGCAGAAACAACTACGTGTACTTTTTTGTAGCGGATCGAGGACAATTTGACGTTTTTCGTGTTCTCCGAGTGTGCGACTGCGCCATGGAGCAGGCATGTAGTAGCAGTGAGTTTGAGGCACTGTATGAACTGGCTGTGGAGTGTAGCAGTTCTGCAACTCAAAACACCAGAATATGTGGAACTGATCTGGTGGAATCCTTTGCTGGACAGGCTGGGCCGTTTGTAGTGGTGACTCGCTGTGAAGACCGAAATCGTGTCTGTGCCTTCAGACTTGCTGATATTGACAATGACATGGAGAAATTTTTCAATGAATGCAAGTCTGGACAGGAATCTGAATCTGACCTTGCTTGGGAGGTTGCAATATCTTGCTCAGAGTTTACTGTGAGTTAAAAAGTTGATGAATTTTTTTATGAAGTACTCCATACCTGTCACTATTGTTCACAGGAAGCCGAGGCTTGTGATTTTGGTGGTCTCCGTGCACGTGCTATCAGTGATACTGGGAGATCCAATGCACAAAGATATGCGTTTCGGTTGGTCAATGCTGGTAATTTTCTTATAAACGCCTCTCTAGCAATCTTTGTGGAAGAAGTCAGTTTAGTGTATGTTGCCTATGATGGAGACATTGAAGTGGTGAGTATACATTTTGTAGCATGAAGATTTGTATTACTTTCCCATTTACATGCAGTATCAAGTACAAACAACAGATATCAATGATCCGACTGGTTCTCTGTTGCAAACAATCGATAATGTCCCATCAGTGCAAGACATTGGCTGGGAAGAGGGATCAGACAACATAACTATTACCACAGACAACCAGGTACATATAAATATTTTCACCATTAGCTATTCATCTTTATCATGTGCCATAGGTCTTTCTGTACCCTCTGGAGACGTGCTCAGAGTCATCGTCATGTGGGGAGTGCACAGAGGAAGACCCATTTCCTCTGTGTGGTTGGTGTACAGTGGAGGACAAGTGTTCTCGGAGGTCTCAGTGTCTCGACAGCTCTCAGCCAGGGAGATGGGTGCAGAGCTCCAGTGAGTGTATCTCCACGTCTGTCTCTCCAGCCCAGTTCATTCTGGACTCCCCCACGATTGTGAGTGAAACAACTTGCACCTACACAACTTGAAAGACACATTCCGTTCCAGTTGGATGTGATGGCCACCTCACCCCTGCCAGAGAATTTGACGTACAATTGCTCATTCTCGGCCCCTGGAGAGAAGTTTCCACTAGTGGTCCCTGCTATTGAGTTGGTAGCAGGCACTCAGTACCAGTGTAATATCACTAATGTAGCTACTTCTCTGGACTCAGTCAAGCAAGGTGTGATAGATACAAAACCTCAAACTTGCACCAAGATCATGCTCTTTCATTCCTACAGTTACCCACTTCAGCTTTGTCAGTGTTGAAGTTGGCGTACCATTTGCTACCAGTCAAAATGCCCTCACAATCTACAACTGCAGTGCAGCTAAAAGGTTGGTAGGTTCGCATGGTAATGAGCGTCTTGGTCAAGTTTTGTGTCTTGTTCTTCCCTCAGTTGTGTGGAATGTCTGGATACAGAGGGAGCCTGTGGCTGGTGTCTCTATGGAGGAATTTGCAGTGGGATATCAGAACCTTGTCCCGTGCCTGAAGGAGTGAACAACTCGTATCTCACAGTGAGCTCTCAGTCATGTGTGAAACAATGAGATATACGCCTGTTTTTCCCCTCACAGCTTGGTACCAGCTCTGGACCAACTGAAGTGTGTCCTGTGGTAAATTCAGCCCCGACAACTGGAAACTATACTCAACCAGTCAATGTGGCCAGAGATCTGGTCCTACAGACCAGCAACCTGCCGCCCTCTGTGATTGAGCAAATCAGCTAGTGTCATGTGACGTTTGGCATAGTATACATTCTGCAGGTGGATAGTTTTCCGTTACGAGTGCACTGTAAATGGCAAGACTTTTGATCACGCAAGTCTCAACATCTGCAGAAGACACTGTAACATGCCTCATATCGAGGGGTAAGTATCTCAAGTTCACTCAGCACTCTATTATCACACTGTCTATGTGTTCAGAGCCTTCAAATATCGTCAGGTGACCAGACAGTATCTTTGGAGTTGATATGGACCAACGATGCGTCTCTATGCTCTGATGAGAATCACCTGACAATCATGTGTGTTCAGTTTTCAGTCATGTGGGATCAGAAAAATGCATCGTTTGTGCTTGTTTGATGTAACAGGTGTCCTGTACGACTGTAATGAGTATTGGAGACTAGTTGCTCATCTTGTCTGGGGAGAAATGTGGCTGGGTTTACATGTGGCTGGTGCTCTGGTGAGTGTTCAGTGATGGAAGAATGCAGTGCTACTTTCTCCACCACAACTACCATGTGTCCTCGGCCGAGAATTGACTCAGTCCAGCCCAACAGAGGACCCACAGCTGGAGGGACTCGTGTTAGCATCTCTGGCACTGATCTTGGAGCCTCTATGATGATATACGGAACGTTACACTTCAATTGGGTGGTGATACTTATGATTGTACACTGAGTGTGGAAGATACATATGATGTAGGCCGACGGATACTTGTGAGACTCTGAACGTGACCTCAGATGGAAACTATATGTTGGAAGTTTACATTCAACGTGAATCAAGTACAGAGGTCGTCAGGGCTCCGTACTCTTATGAAGAACCTCGGGTGACTGCAGTTGATCCTGCATTTGGACCGAAATCAGGAGGAATCGAAGTTGTGATCAGTGGTAGCAGTCTGAGTATTGGGAACAGAGACGACACTGCAGTCACACTCGGTGAAACAACTGTGCCATCACATAGTGAGTATTTAATCCTGAAATGTTGTGGTGTTTGATTGCATGTTGTGTGTCACAGCATTAACGATTCGATGATCATTTGTAGTCTGGAGGGTTTCAAGGAAACAACATTTCTGAAGCAGTGTTAGCAGCTGTAGTGGTTATGATTGACGATGCCGATGTCAGTGGAGAAGGTGTGGGGTTTGACTTTCGAGAAGACCCTGGTTTCATCGAGTGTCAGCCCTCAACGAGTCATTCCCGCGTAAGCAGCCTTTTTCACATCAATACAGTGATAATTGCAATTTATTTTACATTGCAGGGGTGGTATTAATTTAGACATTCACCGGAATGAACTTTGATGTTGTGGTCGAACCCGTGTTTGTTTATACTGACGCAAGGCTTCCAGTTCAACGGCGGTAAAGGTGTATGTTGAGCATTGTAGCATTGTGGTATACTCATTGACAGGAGGTTGGACGGTGTAATGGAGCAGTGGGTAACACAATGATCTGCAGTCTCCCAAGGTTCACCACTCAGGAACCCGATCTGACAAATATCAGCTACACCGTGAGATTTGGAGATGCTCCGGGCCCAAACAGAACAAGAGCAGAGTTGACACTTGAGTCACGACCTGACCCAGTGTTCCCAGAAGACGGCACTGCTCTCTCTCAGACAGAGTTCTCCCCTGGCTCTGGGGCCGCTCTCACCATCTCTGTGAGTTGAAATTCTCAAACATTTTCTTGATCTACTTGCACATGTCTTTCTCTTGTTCCCTCAGTTTGTAGGTATACACATAATACCTCTCATTTCAATCCATAGTAGAAGCTTTTGAGTGTCTAGTTGACTTGTTTGCTTTGCCTTTGCCAGTGTTGACACAGCCTCATGTCGATTCTCCCTCCAGGGGATGTTCATTGACAGTGTTGAGAATGGCGAGATACGTGTGACAGTTGGCGGAGAGGAGTGCGAGGCCAGAATATCAGAAGATAAAGATCCAAACTCAGTGAGCTCTGAGCTTTTCTGCAATTCTAACTTTATCTTTTCCTCTGTGTTTCTCTTTCATTATTCCAGTACACATGTTTTGTACCAAGGGATCCCCCAAATGGGATGAACACTGCACCAGTTGTGGTAAGTGTACGTCACTGATGTGGTTGCTGGACCAGGGAGGTGCCCACTATTGTTGGTGGTACCATAATGTACCTTTGCCAATACCTTTGGAACGAGAATGACTAGGAAGAAATATTGGCAAAGGTCTTGGTACCAAATGTATTAGGCAAGACACCTTAGAATTTGTATAGGGAGAAGAGGGTTCATTCCTCCTTCCAACTCCCATCAACTGCAATAGCAAACCACCTTCAGGACCTGTTCACACACAAAGTGTCTTTATGTAATAAAAACCTCTGCTTCAGCTATATTATATGTTTGAAGCTAAAGGTTGTTGCCCGCTCTGTTTTCCTAGGTAATGGTTGGTCAGAACCTGAGGTACGAGGTTGGGACAGTGACGTACACAGAGGAGAAGAGACAGCCACGCCACTGGCTATCATCATCGGAGCCTCCTGCGGTGGGGGCGTGCTGATTCTCCTGATTCTGGTCATGTTTTGCGTCATTTGCTGCGTCACGCGGAGAGCCACGGCCAGGGAAAAGAAGTTCACTAACCTACTGGCCCAAATGGAGCTCTGGGAGAGCGAAATGGCTGATGAATGCAAGAGAGGTGAGTTATAGCTACCCTAGCCTTTTATGGCATTGTGGTACTCCAGGGCTGCCCTGACTTTACTAACTTACAACTTACAGAGTGTAGGTCCACCTTTGGTGTGTGGCCTTTCTGTCTCTCTTGCTGCAACTTTCACATCCTGTCATCTCTGAGAGCTACTCTTTTCTCTCACCAACTGACTTCTCCAGAACACGCGCACTTAATTCTGTTCAACTGAAAAGCATGCAGCTGTCCCTGGATTTGAAAATGTAGAGTGTAGACATGTAGATCTTGTAAGAGATAAGTACGTGTTGCTAGGGAAGGCCCAGCCAGACTGCCTCCCTGCCCTGCTTGGAGCGCTAGTGTGGTCTCCAGCTATTCACAGGGTGGGCCATTGTGTCTAATCTTTCCTGTCATGCGTTCCACTCTCACTAATGAATATGCTCAGCAGCTAGTGTACTCTGGCGGCTACTATACGCATTAGTGTGGGCCCCAGCTGTGTACTTTAGTTAGGGCACATGGGGGAGGCTCAGAAAAGGATTCACACATGTTGCACTTAATTTTTCATACACAGTGGGTGTGTGCCACCCTTCCTAGCGTCCCAACACCTCTCCCCTTCCTGCCTTTCTCTCTCTCCAACCCTATTCATATATAGCTCCCTGCATGACTATGTGGGTATGATGCCCTGTCATGCTTGCTGCCCTAGATCTATATACCCGTTCATGGTGTCAGCTCAGCTGTTAGGGAAGCCTTCTCTGGTGCACTTACTACATAAGTCTAGGGTTACAGACTAGCATTACACTATGTACGCTACAATATTGTGTGAACTCTTTGCACAGTGTGTAGTGTAGAAATCTGCCCTGTTGCTCTAATGAGGCTGTGATGTAAGACCTTAGGTGGGACTTATTGCAGGGTGAACTGTAAGAGTGAATCTTGGCCCATGTTCAAGTTCCTTGTAAACATGTATGAGTCAAATGTACTCCAAGTGTACCACTGTCTATTGAGACCATTAGTACAAGTATCAATAATGGACACTGTGTACTGCAGAGGGCAGGGTGCACTGGTGCATTTTACAGTAAGTTGATTGTGTTTCTGGCTAATGAATTCCTTGGAGCAAGGCTGGGAATAGTGCTCAGACTTTGGCAAGACTCAACAGCACTCTACCTCCCTTGTGTGGCTTACGTGTACATGTAGCACACTGGTAGCTATACTGTGGCACCCCATTCTCTAAGGACACGCCTGAAATGAGGGCAACTCTCTAAAAAGGACACCTTTTCTTTCCCCCGGAGAACGTTTCCTACATGCAAAGGACACCTCTCTGATACGGGCAATCTCTTGTGCCCCATCGATATCTATGATGAGAATTCCACTGTACCACAATACAGCTCCGCCACTTTGAAGTTGTTGTGAATGAGCTCCTGTGTTGATTTTTGCTGTAGTCTAAAGAGGTTAAGCATATATTGCCCTCCCACCTTTGGTCTTGGTACTGGTGCAAAAGCCACATTGCTCTATCCTGCCTTCCCTTGTAGTGGAGTTTTGACAGGGGGAAGTGTTGATTATCTGCCAGCATACAGTTGGGACAACTCCATGCCCATGCTGATTGTGGAGATAATCTCTGGTCAAAAGCTTGGCCTTAACCTTTGTACTTTTAGTAAGGTGGCCTAATGTTTGTGAGGGAAAGGACAGGCCAACCAACCATCCTCAATACCTAGCTGGAGAGTGCAGTGCAATAATCCATATCAGTAGTTTCGCCCACTTTCCTGGATTTTGCCACGAAAGATAGCACTGTTGAATGTAGAGGTTTGCCAACCTATGGTCCACTAGGGAGACCTGCTACCAAGAACTACATGTCATTTATATACATGTTCCTGTTATGTGCATGCTGTTGTAACTGTGTAGTTTTATACACAACCTACATGTAGTACAGGTATTTGTGTGGTACAGAAATTACAAGGCTCCTATATAATACTCCTACAGCATATACATCATTCCTACAAGTCTTGTAACCCCTCATTGAATATCTGGTTGTCACCAACTTGTGCGTTATCCTGTAGTAACCAGCTGATCTGAAATACCTCTGGCTACTCTAATGAGTCACAAATTATGCCTTGTTCGTTTACAAGACTTGTGCTAACACCTTGTGCAGCTGGCTTGGGGTGTTAGCATGAAGGCTGAAAGGCTTTGAAACTAGGTGTGGAGGGTAATAAAGTTGGCCTGGCTGAGGTTTGTGGGTGCTGAATGAGGTGATATAGTGGCCAGTGGCCACCTTGGCAGTGGCAGGTTCACTCCAGAATTCAAGCTGTTGTGGAGAGAAATTAGCGTGTGATAAACCAGAACTTCCGTTGCACCTGTGTGCATTTAGGCTGCATGGATTGTGTTAGCTGCCCTATTAGTAGCATTCCACCGTAGTATCTCGCACAGTACATAATGTATTGTACCAATGGTAGTACATAATGTATTGTACCAATGGTGGTACATCATGTATTGTACCATATAAGGTACAAAATGTAGTACCCATTACACATGTGACGTATGTATAGGTTAGATCACCTTACATTAGCCTTGCTCCATACATTCCTCTCCTGTTAATGGAGCAAGCAGAGGTATTATTCTCAAGGGAGACACACAATGCTAGGCCATTGTATGTGAGGCCTGACTGTGACTGCATGCGTGCTGTCCACACCCAAATGTAATGTAGGATAGTTCACTTATTGTGTGAGGTATGCTGCTAACACCTGCCTCTGTCTGTGTATGGGTCTGTCTTGTTTCATGAGGATAAGGGGTGCCCCTACCAGATATTTCTTCCTACTCTAACCTACCCCCCCCTCTCTCTGCTCTTTCTCTGTCTGTTTCTTTAGTCTCTCTTCAATGGAAGTGTGGCTATAAAACTAGTTGTTCTTCGCCTTTGCTTGCCAGTGTAAATAAATGCCAGTAAGCATACAGAGAAGGCATATGAAACACAAAAAGAATGAAACAGTGTACATATATAGAATGGTATAGAAAGTGTGGGGGGGGCACAGTTGTAATCTGTAGGCTGGTGTATAGGGTTGCCAGGTCCTTGTTTTTGTCATCGTCCTGGTTTCCAGTGGGTGACGCGAAAATTTTCAAAATGGCTTTCTGTTTCTTGCGTGTTTAGCAGCAATGCGCAGTACATGTGTCAGTACATGGGTTTTGTATACAATGTACAGAGTTTGTTTGTAGGTGTAGTTCTGGTATGTTGTTACATATGGCTGGCAGCTGTTTGTAACTAGCTTCTTCCTCTCTGTGTACCTTGTCTCTCTCTCTCCCCTCTCTCCTCTCTCTTCATGCCAAACACCAGTTTATTGATTCTGCATGATATAATATAAGGACAATGCTGTACACGATGTGCTACATATTCTACATCTTTATTGATTTTCGTCTGTGAACACATATTCTGCAGTAATGTGTGAAACCACTGACATTTCGCACTCTGCATTTTTCCTCCCCAATAATGTGTTGCATTTATTCTGGTAGAAGTGAGGTATGTAATAAAATGTCTAAGTGCAGCAAAGCAAGCGACTACATCTCTCTCTCTCTCTCTCTCTCTATGCAGCCTTCACTGAGCTGCAGACTGATCTAGCCGATCTCGTCCAGATCTCAGACGACAAGAATCTCCCGTACAGAGACTTCCGTTCCTTCGCAATGCGGTTCCTGTTCCCCAGTGCCGGTGCTGATCACCCAGTCCTGAATCCCCTGCCGGTTGCCGACAGCCAAGAGATGGTGCCTCACCTGAAGGCCTTCCACCAGCTGATTCTGGACAAGAAGTTCCTCCTGCTGTTTGTTAGGACCCTGGAGGCTCAGCAGGGACGGTTCACACTGCAGGACAAGTTGGTTTACCTCTCCTGTCTGTCTGTCTGTCTGTCTGTCTGTCTGTCTGTCTGTCTCTGTCTGCTTCTCTCCTTTCTCTTCCTTATTCTCTTGTCCTCAAGGTCTATTACATGTAGATTTTTTTGCTTTGCCCCCATCTTTAGTGTTAGTCCATAAAGCTGGGCGATTGTCCTATTATACCAGTGGGTTAATCTGAGGTACTCTAGTGAAGAAAACATATGCATGTATCGTTTGGGTCTATAATTGCATTGCTCTGTTCACCTAATTCTCAAAGTGTGGGATGGGCAGGTGCTAATCAATGTGTGCATAAACAGACTCCATATGAAGATGTGATGACTGAGCACTGCGCTAATGGATGCTCATTCTCATGTCCCACACACACTGAAATGAATAGGACACTTGAAGTAATTGTGTTGTCTATCACATGATGTCGTTACCCCCCACTCCTTCCTCCTCTCCCTCTCTTCAGATGTAACGTGGCTTCTCTACTGATGGTGGCCTTCCAGAACAACCTCGACTACGCCACAGAGTGAGTCTGTCACATGATTCTCACATGAGATCATGTGACAGAGAAAATTCTAAAAATAGCTGGGGCTGTTACTAAAAATAGGCAGTAGTATCCCACTAGTTGTTTATATAGCCTGGATCCTGTCATTGCCACCGCAGAGTATAGGTAGTAGAGTACCACATCAACTGTCTTCTCTTCTCTCCCTTTTCTTCCTGGAGTTTACTGCTATATATTATCCCATAGCCAGCCCAGCCCTAGGGCAGAGGGGCTAAATACACACACACAGGTTATCCCAACAGCTTCTTTGTTGATTCAGGGACGGTAGCAGGTTGTATGTGGGAGTAAGCAGTGGGTGGAGGTGTTTGTTGAGACGGCAATATTTGAGGAACTAGCAGAATGTAGGTCTTCTCTGGTTGTTCAGAATGTGGTATAGGGTTTTGGGAGTGTGGGAGTTCCATTTGCCAGACAGACTACGAAGTCACCCCATATAGCTATTTCATTCCTCTCTCCCTACTCTCCTCCCTCTCTCCCCCTCCCTCCAGGATTCTCCAAACTCTCCTCAAAGACGTGATGCATCAAGCAGTCCTCAAGTCCCACCCAAAGCTGCTCCTCAGGAGAACCGAGACAGTGGCCGAGAAGATGCTCGCCAACTGGCTCTGCTTCCTCCTCTTCCCCTACCTCCTGGTGGGTGTTCCCGCGGTTCCCGTGGTGACCACGCGGTTGCCATGGAAACGTTGAGTTTCCATAGCGACCGCATGGTTGAGCTGGCCTGGAAGAGCAGCACACTCTTTGTCTAGGGAGTGTGTGTGTGTATTTCAGGGTGGCGGAGAATTTGGTATAAAATTGACACGCGGATTTTCCAGACACCTTATCCTAATGAATACCTGCATATTGAAACTTGGGGCTTACAATTGCTTGAATATCTCTCCTGCAGTTTCTGATTGCGTCTGATTTGCTTGTATGTTTCGCAATAGAAGACTACAACTTGCTGCACACGAATCTGTTTCGTCTGAGGCACATTTCCTTACATTGTGTCAGGCCACAATATTATTATGTGACGTATGTAATAATCTAACATGTGGTCTGTAGCCAGCCACAATAGTGTACATGTCTGTCGTATTGTCTGTCTAATACATTGTATTGTAGTATAGTGTACATGTCTGTCGTATTGTCTGTCTAATACATTGTATTGTAGTATAGTGTACATGTTAGTATTGTCTGTCTAATACATTGTATTGTAGTATAGTGTACATGTTAGTATTGTCTGTCTAATACATTGTATTGTAGTATAGTGTACATGTCTGTCGTATTGTCTGTCTAATACATTGTATTGTAGTATAGTGTACATGTCTGTCGTATTGTCTGTCTAATACATTGTATTGTAGTATAGTGTACATGTTAGTATTGTCTGTCTAATACATTGTATTGTAGTATAGTGTACATGTTAGTATTGTCTGTCTAATACATTGTATTGTAGTATAGTGTACATGTTAGTATTGTCTGTCTAATACATGTATTGTAGTATAGTGTACATGTAGTATTGTCTGTCTAATACATGTATTGTAGTATAGTGTACATGTTAGTATTGTCTGTCTAATACATCGTATTGTAGTATAGTGTACATGTTAGTATTGTCTGTCTAATACATCGTATTGTAGTATATGTACATGTTAGTATTGTCTGTCTAATACATTATTGTGTATAGTGTACATGTTAGTATTGTCTGTCTAATACATTGTATTGTAGTATAGTGTACATGTTAGTATTGTCTGTCTAATACATCGTATTGTAGTATAGTGTATGTATTGTATGTAGTACACTCTTTCATAAGGAGGCGTACAGTTATTGCATTTCTTGTTAGTCACGTTTTATTGGTCACCTAGTGACCGCATGTATTGATGTTAGTTGATAAGTAGTTTTTGACATTAGGTGGAGGCCTTACTAGCAGAGGTTTACCATGTAGTGGGCCTTGTTTGGGTATCTTGTAGTTAAGTAGTGAGTAGGTCTACACCATTATAAGGAGCACCTATACTATTAGTAGTATGTTTGTCTCTGTGAACCCCATGCAATACCAATGTTCTGAATGGCCTTTATAGCCACACCCCTCCATGCACCCCAAGTATACTTTAACCATCACCCCATTGCCTGGCAATGAACAACGCTCCATTTGGCCACCGGCTGGGACCTAACAATACCTGTCTTGCGTGGGTATATACAGCTTTCGATTGGGTGTGAAAAATGCCGTCTCCATGGCAACAACAGCTCCCACGTCCAAGCATGCTCTAAGCCTGTAATTGGGGGAATTGAATGAGGTGCACATAACATCCCCGTCGCTTTGGCAACCTCATTAGCTGACATTACAGATTGAGTGGCTTTTGGTTTTTAGAAAAAATGGACAATTATACAGCTTATGATGTGAGATCATAACTTAGTTTTGGGAAACGTTTGAGAGAGAAATTTTAGCGACATTCGATATTTGAGAGTCAGTTTATATCATTTTTGTAAGGGAATGTGGCAGTATATAAAGTTAGATTCTTTCACTTGGCCCTGTTGTTTAGTTCCGTGTTAGTAACAAGCAATCTGCAGAGATCCTACTGTTTCCCCTGCAAAATTTCTATTCTCTCTATCTCAATCCCTTCCTCTTCCTCCCCAAACCCATGCTATGTTCAAGGTATTTAGTTTGCCTTCCCTTAATTTCGTGTCCTTCCCCTATTCTTTCCCCCTATTCTCTCCTCTTCATCTTACACTTTCCTTGCTCTTCACAATCTTTACTTCTCTCTCCCCACCCCACACCTCCCCCCCACCCACACCTCCCCCCCTGCCCCCAGGAGCATGCAGGAGAGCCACTGTTCATCCTGTTCAGGGCCATAAAGAGTCAACTAGAGAAAGGACCAGTCGACGTCATCACCGGAGAAGCCAGACACTCCCTCTCAGAGGAGAAGCTGCTGAGACAGAAATACGAGTGCCAGGTACGTCGGCTGCACTGACTCACACTTTTACTCCTCCTCTTCAGCTAGAAATACACTCTATATGATGCCCCCCCCCTCCCTGCTATTCTCAGGTGGTGGATAGCGTCGTGGAGACGGATGGAGGGGAGCAGATTTCAGTCAAACTCCTCGACTGTGACACCATCACCCAGGCCAAGGAGAAGATCCTCGACGCTCTCTACAAGAACACGGCCATATCCTGTCGGCCGCAGCTCCTAGATGTTGATCTCGGTAGGTTGGGGAGAAAGCTGCTATTTGAGAGCTGTAAAAAAAGTTGGGATAGAGAAAAATTTAGCACTGTAAAAAATGCGGAACTTTGTTAGAAAGAAAATTTTGGTGATTCAGGTAGAAAATCCCTGAAAAACTTTTCGCTGATTGCTTGTGTCTGACTTTTCACTGAAATCTTTGAAAAGTTTTTTTTTCCTTCTGTTACAGAGCTTCGTCGTTCCCATGCGGGGATTCCCCTCCGAGACCACGACTCTACGAACGTGAAGGAGGGAGACTGGATCAAGATTAACACTCTCGGCCACTACCGCCTCGCCGAGATGGTTAGTTCTCCCTCTCTCTCTCTTCTCCTTTTTCGTCTTCCTCTTATCCTCCTACTATTTATCCTTCTTCTCTCTTTTTCATCTTTTTTTTCTCCTTATCTCTCTGTTTCCGACTGATCTCTTGTTCTCTTCTCAAAACTCACGGTGAACCATTTTTTCCTCGTGGTAAACCTCATCTCGTTTCTCTCCCCCAGTCGCAGGCAGCAGCGGACAACCCCAAACTCCCAGTTCCTTCGTTCAGACTAGTCGCTCGTCAGGAGAGACCTGTCAGCGGCATGAGTGAGCCACGCCCCCTCTCTCATACTTACGATGTCATCCATATGAACCAAATATCACATGTATTTATTTTACTCCAACTTTTTTTCAGCGACATTGATAAGCCACACTTATTTTCACCCTTTCTTATTATGATAGCGTCGAAATGCTGACACAAGTACTGTTTTCTGCAATACCATATGTGCATGAAAAATTAGTACTTCTAGGTTAGACTGACAAACCTTTCGTGAACATGGAACTTTAAATGGTCTCTCTCTCTCCTCTTGTCCTCCTCCTCTTCTTCCTCAGGTTTCGACCATGTAGGAACCATCATAGCCAACCTGAACTCAAGCGCGGCGGTCACCAGCGGTCCTCAGGTCTTCCATCTCACCAAACCAGAGCATGGAGACGGGGACGAGGGGGACTGGTCCGAGACAGGGGAAGATTCTCTCCGAGGTGTTCCTCACTAGACTACTCTCCACCAAGGTCTGTATTATATGTACTGCCTCAATAGGACACCAATGTTAGCGATTATGCATGTATGGGGCCTCATAGTTTTAGGACCACATACGGTTAGAAATGTGCTTCTTCCCCTGTCTCTCTCCCTCCTCACTCCAGCGCATCCTCCAACCCTACGTGGACGACCTGTTCAAGGGAATATTTGCAGTGCCACGAGGAAAGCCTCTGGCAAAGGCCATCAAATTCCTCTACGACTTCCTAGACCTCCAGGTCAGTAATCTCTCAGTATACTATAGTATACTCTACAGTAATCTCTCAGTAAACTTTAGTTTTCCTCTTCCTAATTTGTCAGTAATCTCTCAGTAATCCTCACCTAATCGCTCAGTAAACTCTAGTAATCCTACGTGTCAGTAATCTCGGTAAACTTCTTCATTCCCTTGTTAGTAATCTCTCAGTAAACTGTCAGTAATCTAGACATTACTCCACCCATAGGCAGCGGAACTTGGTATTCAAGACCCAGAGATTCTGCATACGTGGAAAACTAACAGGTATATTCAACGACACAATGATGATGTAATGCTTAATGACATCATAGTGTAGTCGAACCCATAAGCCTAAAATAGGTTCTAGTTGTTGATGATGTAATGATGATGTCACCCAATTCCCTCCCCTCCCCATGCAGTTTGTTCCTGAGGTTCTGGGTCAGTCTGATAAAGAATCCAGACTTTGTGTTTGACATTCATAAGTCAGCAACTGTCGATGCTTGTCTCACTATCATTGCTCAGGTATTGTATATCTACAGGTATTGTAGGTATTGTACTGTCGACATTGTCCGTAATACAGTGTGAAGCAAGCTGCCAGCGCTCACACGTTTACATTACTACTGCATATTATAAGATTGGGGGTCTTTGGAGGAACAAAAGCTTTGTTGGCGAGTGAAGCAAGCCTACCTACTCGTGTCAACAGGCCACTTTTTCATTCTTTATATCCGGCTATGCCACACATACCATAATGTTCTATATACGTGATTCTAAATCGACAGCCACCAAGCGAGAGATATTGAACTGCTCACGCTCGCTCGCCAACAATGCGTTGCATCCCTCTAGTCAAAATGATTGCCAAATGTCTCTGTTTCCCCCACCTCTCTCTCCCTCAATCCAGGCGTATATTGACGCGTGCTCCACGTCAGAGATGAAGTACAACAAGAACACTCCGTCTGCCAAACTGCTGTACGTCAACGAAGTCAGATCCTACAAACAAGAAGTGCAACAGTAAGTCCATTGCTTCTTCTTCAACTGTCTTCTCTTTTCTCATTTGCACTTCTCGTTTCGTTGATGTTATTGTGTAAAATTCTTACTAGGAATGCGCACGCGCATATTTTGCCTCGCGCAATGCGTAAACAGTCCGACTGAAGCCGCTTGTGCACGCGCTCTACTGACTGCGCGCGAAGCTAGACTTCCTACGAATCTGCGCACACGGCGGAAGCTAGACTTCCTACGAATCTGCGCACACGGCGGAAGCTAGACTTCCTACGAATGACGGAAGTTACACTTCCTTTTGGTGACTAATTTACATTCCTAAGCGTGACTAATTGACGACTTATGTACGTACGCATATCGCGAGAATACAACCCGGAGTAGTTGCCTCACGCTAATGCGCTCGGCAATTATTTTTTTTATCATTATTTATTCTCCTTCCCTCTCCTCTTCCTCCCTCTCACTCTCTTTTTCCATCTCCCCTCTCCTCTTTTGCATCATTCCTTCATCCTTTCTCTCGCTGTTCCTCACTCCACACCCTCCCCTCACACTATAGGTACTATTCCACAGTACAGTCGCTGCCTAAGCTATCATCCCATGACATGTCGGAATATCTCCGCGAGACAGCCCAGGTCTGTTCCAAGAGTGTACAGGAGAGTACTGAACATGACATCAAACATGTCTTTATGGTACGAACCACGCCCCATCCTCTCCCTAAAATTTTTCTCACTCAATCCATTTTTTTCATGACCGTTCGCCCCTTTTTCATGATCTTGCCCATACCTCTCGCTCAATCCATTTTTCATGACTGCCCTGATCAATTTTTCATGACTCTCGATCAATTTTCTCATGACTGCCCTGATCAGTTTTCTCATGACTCCCCTTCCATTTTCATGACCTTCATCGATTTTTCATTACATTTGCCCATCCCTCTCGGGCAATCATCACCTCAACCATTCGTCGACTTCCCTGTCCATATTTCAACTCCTTCAGCCTTCCATTCATTTGCTAATCCGTCAGTCCACCACGCATATCATGCATTCAGCATCTCAGAAAGTACATGTCGTGCTGTATATGTGTGCAGCTGAAGGCAACGTGTCTAACTAAGTGTGTCACAAACACCATCACATTTCCTTCCACTTTTGCATCAAGCTACTGTTGTTTTTTCCTCATTTTTCTAGACGAGGAAGCTGTATTTTGTGACAGAAAGTGCACTCTACGAGCTGTTCAAATTTGCTGCTACTTACTCCAGTGAGCTCCAAGATGCCCTTAACGACGAGGGGCTCTCCGTCATGGCAATAAAATTGGAACAGCTGCAAGCCGCAATTAAAGTCTGATTCTAATTAGAGCTCACCATATATGAAACGTGATTGCTTTTCGATGCACATGTATGTACCTGTAACAAAGGCTAGCAAAAATTGTAGCTCTTCTTTTCTGTGCATTTTTATTCTTTTTTGTGAACAATTGTTAAAATTTTTGTAACAATTGTGAGTATTTACATACATTGTATGTATGCATTCCAAGCACAGTGTTTTAGCATGCATTATTAATTTCTATTCCAATATCTAAGCACTTTGTTTTGTTAATCTCTTGCAAGTCAAAAACGTTTACAATGTGAAAAAAATTGCTGTTATCACACACGATTTCGTAAGACCTACACGAGAAACTGAAAAATACCTACTAAAATCACAATCTGTGAGTTAATTATGAGTGGCAGCCTTAGCTGCTGAGGTATGTTGCACTCAGAACTGTGGAGGGAGGGAGGGAGGGGGAGGGGGGGGGAGGGAGGGGGAATGGTAGAGTGGGACAAAGAAAGTTGTGAACGGGAAGGAAGGAAACGGCGAAATAATGTTTGCAAGGACGAGAGTAAAAAGGAGCAGAGAAAAAGAAAAACAGACAAGGTAAGAAAGGAGAAGACAGAGACAGAGAGAGGATGAGAAGAGAGGTTTGTGAAAATACTCTGAGAGGTCATGATTGATTGCCTCACATTCTTGAGGAACTCCTCGGCAACGATACGAGCTCTTGCATTGAGAGAAATCTTCATCTCGCTTATCTCCTTGTCAATCTCCTCCATGAACTGCAGTGGAATAAGCAGCAGTAGGGTGTGGTCACATAAAGGGGGTGTGGTCACAGACCTGTATGACAAAGTCAACGAGCTTGTGTTTGTACATCTGCTCTGTGTGGAAGTTGGTGATCAGGAAACTGATGTCGTAACCCTGGCAACGAATTGACAGTACACTTTCAATAAAACATTATAATACTACAGTATGTAGTCAGATCTAATGGTTGTGACTAGTAAGAAAGAGGCACATAGAGAGAGGGTGGGAGATAGTATAAGAACTAACCTCTATGGGTTTCCTGCGGAGGATGAAGAAATGCTCCGCCCTCTGCATCATGAATCTCATGAACTTCTTACACAAAATCTTCTCTATCTCGTCTGCCTGCACAAACCACACCCACAATTAGATCACATTCACAACGATGCAGTACAAAATGCCGATGGAATTGATTGTTCGAGTAAAAAAATCTTAGTTGGGTATACTAGTGTAACAAAGTTTTGCACAATTTGGCCAAAACTGTAGTTATTATGTCATAAGTTCACACCCTGTGACCAAATCTACTCGATCAATTATTCATGAGCAAGTAATAAAGTATGTATGTACCTGTTTGATGGCGATGGAGACCCGTATGGAGTTGATAGAGCTCTCGATGAGGATTCTCTCCTTCTCGTTTCTACTGACTGTGACTGGCGTTAGCAACAGCTCCTTGCTGCTCCTGGGAGAGAAAGGAGACGGAGAGGTTTACAAGAGAGGGAGAGAGAGGGAGAGGGTTAAAAGAGAGGGAGAGAGAGGGAGAGGGTTAAAAGAGAGGGAGAGAGAGGGAGAGGGTTACAAGAGAGAAGAGAAAGCAAAGCATGGAGTAATCTAAAGAACGAAAAAAAAACTGAAAAGTTGGCGAGATGCAGTGTGAAAGGAGAAGCAGTGGGGTGGCGACGACGTGCAGTTTTATCCATACACAAGTGTCTGTGGAACAGTCTTGCTACAATCATTCACCTCTTTTTAGGTGTAGCAGTATAATTAGGTACCCGTTTAAAAGAAAACTACACTTGAGTAAAAGGACAGGGGCAGTGAAAGAGGTCCTCTGAGTTCTAACAGACCATATGTCAGGTCTACAATAGACTGTACACTAATACTTCCACCCTAAAACACACAACACTTGTGACCAAATAAGGTCCGCACGTACCCCCACCACTGGGGGCACGTTCTAAAGGCTTCCTGGCTATCTTTTCGGGACCCTGGCTTACTTTACTTCCACCTCAGGTTTGTTGTGTCGCTCCACAACCTGACTCTCGAAGTTTTCCAGGCACATGGCGGCCGTTAGAGACGCCCGTACGGCGCTCAGGTACGGTTTCAGCGTCGCCGACTGCACGGAAGAGACAACACGCGCATAACGACTTGCATGAGTGGTTTATTGCTCCCCACGTCTTCCTATACTGAGGTGGGGTGGCAAAATCGCTAGGAAGACGGGAAAACGGCCGTTACTTCACTCACCATTTTCGGTCGTCTCTGAGACTTCACAAACAATCTGCGCATGCGCGTATGGGTGCATTTTCCAATTAGTGCGCACCTGTGGAAGCGTGTCGGGTGAGGAAAAAGAGACATGGCTACACTGTTGCGGGTGAGCCTACCTGGAGCCGTACTGAAAGACTAGTAGTGTTGGAAATCTGTTTTATAATTCTGCAGGAGTCGATGACTCGCTACACGAGTCCAGTCAATCCGTCGGTGTACCCTCATCTTGCCGTCACTCTGCTCGGCATTGGGCTCTTCTTCATGGCCTGGTTCTTTGTGTATCCTCTGCTCACGTGACCCACTCAAATATCACAGACTTCAGATTGCAGTCTTAGCTTCTGTCTGTATGAGCAATTGCACTAGCGACAAACAGTAAGGAAATGAGCAATCTCCCCCATTCACAAAATACCGATCTTTACACTACACGCATAGACATAAGAGTAGGACACTTGATGTTTACCCGTGAGAGGTAGCTACTAGGCGGTAGGTTAGTGTACGTTTGACAGGAAGAGAAAGTAAGAGAAAAAGTTGAAAAAGCAATGGCGTATAAAGATGGGGTGTGTGCCTTGACAGTTGTCCCCAGCTACGAGGTGACCAGTACTAAGTTCTCCAGAGATTTGTTCAAGGAGCTGCTGGTCTCCCTTTGGTCTGCCATCTTCCTCGGCTTCGGGGTCCTCTTCCTCATGCTCTGGGTCGGAATTTATGTATGACGTCATCACATTCACTCTCCTCTCAACAAATTTTGTAATTTCGACCCGTGAAAATGTGAAATCCAAAGTTTTTTGCAAGCGCACGGTATGGGAAAATATTTTTTACCGCATAATTAGAGAATTAAGTTCGCCACGTGGTGAGGTTTGTTGAGATGAAGTGGCTGCTACTGGGAGTATGTTTGGCGGTGTTCCTGGCGACTGTGCCGTGTGCGAGAGCCGAGGGAACCCCGGGAGAGTGGGAAGTAACGCTGGCCAACAGGCAGCTGGACCTCACCACTCACCAGGCCCGCCAAACGCTCACACTAACCCTCAAGAATGCCGGGAAAAAGAGTCTAGGAACCTTCCTAGTCGTCGTGGACGCCGCTGTCGCCGGGAAAGTCGCTTACTTCGGCGCTCACGTGAGTTATCTCTCAGCTGCTGCGCTCTATTTAGAATACTAGCGTAGTGGGGTCTTTTTCGTGTAAAATATGGCCCCCCTACTCAGGAGAAATCTGATGCAGAGGATCCCCCAGCTCTCCCGATGGCCCCTGCAGTTATAAAGGGGAAGAAGGATGTTGGAGGGTATGAAGTTAGGCTGCCGACTGCCAGTCGAGCCAAAGGGAGAGATAAGGGTTGTCGTGGAAATGGCTGTAGCAAATATCATCACTCCATACCCCAAGGAGATTACTCAGGTAGGGATATTTTTGTGTACTTTTACTTGTATATGTATATACCTACTTTATATAGACCTTGTGGCTACTCCGTAGCAATCAGTACTTTGTTGCTTTTGCTAGTTGTAGATTCGGTTCGAAAGCAGGAAAATTCTGTGTTTTGAGGTTTATTTGTACCTTTCTCTTGTTTTTTCTCTCTTTTGTTTCGCAGAGTGAGAAGCAGTTGGTACAGTTCTCGGGGAATGCCTACATCCTCTCCCCTTACCCAATCAAAACCCAGAGTACCACCGTTGTCCTGGCAACCTCCACCATAGAGTCGTTCTCACGGGTCGCCCCCACCTCGACGACCGCTAACGAGGTCACCTACGGTCCCTATAGCGACATGGACCCCTACAGCAGTGCTAGGATAACGATCCACTTCGAGAACAACGGGACCTTTTCTGACGGTGGCGTCTCTGGATCGTCTCATTGAGATTTCTCACTGGGGAAATATCGCTGTGGAGGAGCATGTGCACGTCAAACATACAGGTCTGAGCTTTCTTTTTTCTTTCTTTTTCTCGGCCCATTTTTTACATTGTGAATAATTATAATCGTTACGTTTTCCTTGTTTTCCTTCTTAGCATCATGGGGAAATTTTGTGTTGTTGAAAAGTTTTTTCTCTGATTTTCTCACTCTCCCGTCTTTCATTTCCTTATGCCTTTGTCTCTCCCTCTCTCTGCTGCTCTCTCACTTTCCTCCCTCCCCAGGTGCCATTCTGCGGGGGTCATACTCGCGGTTCGACCACCAGAGAGTGCCAAACAGTGGAGCCAGCTCAGTGAAGAGCTTCAAGACCATTCTCCCTGCCGCTGCGGCTGATGTCTACTATCGCGACGAGATTGGCAACATTTCCACCAGTAACCTGAGAGTTGACGAAGATTACGTCGAACTGGAGCTGAGGCCTAGGTAGGGGGTAGAAGAGGGCTGAGTTCGTGAAACTACCCTCAAATTTGCTCGGTGGCATTAAAAAAAAACTTGGTACTTTCGCTACTTTTAAAAATAAAGGGCCAAAAAGTGTGGTTTTCATCTAACGAAAAGCTAGAAAAGAACTGGAAGCCTGTATTCTTTAATCCTCGGAAGTGGTATAAATATGTTTCTCTCTCCTCCCTCTCCCTCTCTCTCCCAGGTTCCCCCTCTTTGGAGGGTGGCAGACGAGGTACTACATTGGCTACAATCTTCCCGTCCTACGAGTACCTCTATCACTCGGGGAGTCAGTTCCTGCTCAACATGAGGCTGGTCGACCACGTCATGGACGACCAGCTGGTGCAAGATCTCACACTCAGAATTGTCCTCCCTGAAGGAGCCAAGTTAGTGTGTTTTCTTAACTTCTGTAGTGTTCGTATTTTGGTAATGTAGTTTTTTTTAAAAACCCCTACTAGAAATCGAGTTTGTGGATTGATTTTCACAAAATTGCATGCGAAAAAGCAGCACTTGTTTACGTACGTACCTCCTCGTTTTGAAAGAAGTCTTCACTTTTTGTGGGATTCGTGGAAATTTGATCCGCCCAAAAAATCATTTTGCCCACTTCTCTGTGATAATATCTCTGTCTCTCCCCCCATTCTCCCTCTAATCCCAGGAACATCGTATTCGAGGCACCGTACGGTGTGGAGCAACAACCAAACGATCTGATGCAGACGTACCTTGACACCGTGGGCCGACCGGTCGTCGTGGTGACGGCTAACAACCTTGTGGAGCAGCACATACAAGATTTTACTGTAGGCCACACACTCACCCTTTCAATCCAGTTTTATGGCATTTTTCTCTCCCCCTGTATCTTCTCTCCTTTCTATTTCTCTTCCTTCTTACTTTCTCCTACCCTCCTTTCTCCTTCTTTAACCCTCTTTTTTCTTTGACAATTTACTACCTTTTCTCTCCCCTTTCCCTCCAGCTAACCTATGAGTTTCAGACGTGGATGTTGCTACAGGAACCGCTACTGGTCATTGTAGCACTCTACGGCTTCTTCCTCCTCATTATCGTCATCGTCCGTCTAGACTTCTCCATCACCAAGGTCTCAGAAAAATTTATGACCTTGCTTAAAAAATTTGCTTAATTTGGGACATCCAAAGCAAAATATTATTAGCTCACTCTATAATACTCGCGTTTCGTTTTCCTCTCATTTCTCCTAAGGATGTTGCTGTGTTGGCACGGCAACAAACGTCGGTGATCCTGGAGAAGATTCTGGAGGCGCATGACCGCCGCTGGAGCATCGTCGGGCAGTACGGCGAGTCAATCTCCTCGTTCAAACAGAAGAAGAACAAGGACGAGTTTGCCAAATCTCGCAGGAGTCTGGACGACAAGTTCAAGAAGTGTTCCAGCGACATTGGGAAACTCGGCCGTGCGCTCCAGGGGATCGATACTGAGAAGAGTGCTAAGGCACGTGTTTTTCCTTTCTCGTCTCTACTTTTGACTCTAGCTGATCCCTATATAGCAGCTGTACATATAATATTTTGCTGTTCCTTGCCCCAACCGCATTTACTCCCCCTACTGATTGCATTTTTTGTACGCACATGAGTTAACAAATAGGCGAGCCAACTCTTCCTAATACATTGACTATAGTTGTAGAGTGGAATCTCGTTGTACCTATCCTTATCTATCTCTATCTATTTCGTTGTCCCTTCACCTCCTCTTTACCCCTACCAGTAAGGGTGTTAACGGTTACCTAATACATTGACTATAGTTGTAGTGTGGAATAGCACCAGTATGTATAATTATACCTAATCCCTATATTTTTTAACCCCCTACCCCCTTCCCCCTCTCAGTTAGCAGTAGGTAATAGAGTCTGGATTTCTAGCGTTGTGAGGCCTTGCCATATCACTGATCCATGTTTTGGTTTTTCAAGACACTACACTTTCCTCTCCTCAGGTGACTGAACTCCAGAAGAAGACTGTGTCTCTGAAAGAAGTCGTCGATGACAACTGCACCCTCGCCGAGAGGCTCGTATCCGACCGCATCACCAAGTCCGAGTATTTGAACAAGGAAAAGGGGAATACTTCCAACGTGCAGCGTCTGGAGGGCGAAATAAACTCCCTCGTAAAGGCTCTCAACTGACTCCGCCCAGTTCACACCCGTTGCCTATGGCGACTGACCTCGTTGCAGTGGGCGTGGCTAGGAAATTGACTCAATGATGTTAGGAAATGTACATATGTGAAAATAGAGAATCATTTCATACACCCTTTGTCAAAAACGTAAATTTCGATCCGGACGGACAGTCTGCAAAATTTAATTTCGGAAACACAAATTTTAGGAATCGTCACAGATAATCCGTTATAAATTTTAGTTTTTTTGGGCGGTTGTCTGGAAGGCCAGAAAATGGAATCGGCAGAATGGGTAAACCTTATGAAGACGCCAGAGGAGCGGCCGGCGGCCAGGTCTCGTCGCCTTGCCAACGGCACCTCCTCCCAGGACGCGGCCCGCGCGCTGCGGGTCCTCGAAAACACCCCGCAGGGAAAGGTGGGCGTTAAAAAGAGTAAGACCACGGAGGTCGAAGCTCTACGCGGGCAGGTGACGTCTCTGGTGAAGGAGAAGAGAGACCTGTCCCTCAGGGTAAGCCAGTCTTAGAGACAGTTCAAGAAGCTTCACGTTGGTAGTTACGCTTTTGCGTGACGCAGTGGCGAAAAATTTTAAATGGATTTTCTTGCACCTTTGGTGATGTATATACTGTATGTTGGTCCACGTGGTGTGAATATTGACTGAGTGCATTTGGTTGCAGGCTGCGGAGGGCGAGAGGCTGCTGAGCGGCGCAAAACAGGAGCTGCAGAGTAAGTGAGACTGACAGAATATGTAGTAGTACCACACAAACCACAGGGCTTCTTCTGGAGATCAAAACTAGCTTTTGGCACCTCTTGTTGTACAGTTTCTGTAGCATGCTTCCACGGAAGGCAGTTATCATTGACACACTGCTTAATTGTCTGGAGAATTTTTGTAGTAGATAATCTTGAATTTTCTACCGATATTTGATTTTAGCAATGAAAGAAGTTTTTCGTAGTTTCAAGTTGATCCACTAAAAGCAGCAAATGTTAGCATCAGAATCATGTTGTGTAACAGTGTACAAAGCATGTATGATTATTGCGTGTTCTACAGCTGCGCTGAAGACCAACTCCAAGACCAAGACAGATATGGAGGACCAGAGAAGAGTCATTCACAGACTTTCTGCCGACAATGCAAGACTCATTAGACAGGTATCGTATGACGTCATACCAATTACGTCATTCTACCTCCCATTCCCGTGGTAACTGCAGGTGGAATCGCAATGGAAACAGTCACCCGAGCTCAAAACTCCGCCCTCCTCTACTTCGACTCCGCTGATTTCAAACCACACCCACCCAAACAACATCCTCGTCAAAGATCTGGTATTATGGCGATAATTGGCTTTTAACTAAATAATTATGGCGATTCTGGAAACTCTTTAACCTCGCTCTCACTGTGGATGCATTTTCGTCGTTAACCCCTCAGGAGCGTTTGTCTCAGCGAGCCACGGAGCTGAGCCAGTCTCTCTCCAGCACGCAGCAGGCCCGGACGACCTTGGAGAGGGAGCTGCTGGCTCTGAAGAGATCCCAGCTGGACCTCCAGAGCACTCGCTCACACCTCGAGGAGGAACTGGCCAAGGTGTACAGCGTGAACTAATACACTTTCCTTTTTGTGGGAATATTTTTGAGGAAGATTAATTTGCTGGAGTTCAGCGAAGTTTTTTTTGCAATCTGAATCACAAAGCTTTCATCCAACAAAATTTCCTGCTTAGTTTAAAGTTCAGTATATCTGTTGACCTGATTCTTTGAGCAATGTGAACTGTATATGAGCTAATATGTCCTGATTTCTCTCCCGGCAGTCAGAGGAAGAGAGAGCGGCTCTGTACCAGCGGCTGGCCGAGAGCGAGGAGGGAGGGAGACGTCGATCAGAGCAGATGCAGCTGTCAATGGAGGCAGCTCTCAACGACAAGACCGCCAAGGTTCCCCTCAATTTGACCCCTCCGATTCATAATTTGACCCCCATCAATCTCCTGGTATACATATGTATGTATGTATGTAGCTGGAGGAGTTGTTGTCACTGAGTGAGAGGCTGCAGAGAGCTCTCAGCTCCCTCTCGAGGGAGAAGGCCAGTTTGGAGTCTTGTCTGAGGGACGAGGTCGCCAGCAACCAGGCACTCACCACCGAGAGAGATGGTGGGTCATCACTACATTAAATTCACACTCTAAAGTAAAGTTTTAGTTGTACTAGTGGCAAGTCAATTATACAAGTGCCTAAAGAAGTCACAATGTACATTAGTTTAACCAGTTAACAAACAACAACTTTGTGACGAAAATGGGTTCCGTGAGTGCGGAAAACAAGTGATCGATCATGGAATAAAACTTTAATGAGTTAAATGGTAGTAATAGTCTACTCACTAAAATGGTTCTGTTAAAATTGTTCGGTCCTTTGGTAATTCATTCAGTACTTTTCTTTGAACGTTTGTTCAATTCACCTGTCAATGGTATACTGCCCATTCATGTGTATATACTGCTGTCTTGTGTCTCTCTGTGAAGGTCTGAAGGCACAGTTGGCTGAACTTGGAACAAGTCTGGAGCAGACGAGAGGAGAGCTGGCTCGCATGCAGGTTAAGACGACCAGCAAAGTCAGAGAGATGTTTGTTTAACTGTCAAAACCTTGGTTGATTTTGAAATGTTCTAGCCAACTATTTTCTCTCTCAGGACCACCAGCTAGCGGAGGTGACAGAAATGAAGACAATTCTGGAGAGGGAGATGATGTCTCTGCAGAAGGAGAGAGAAGACCTCAGCCATGAGGTGGAGGGAGGGAGAGAGGAGAGGGAGAACTTGAGGAGGGAGCTGCTGGCCACGAGGGCTGAGCTGAGCAGAGCTGACAATGAGGTTGAGAGGTACGTATGTATGTATCAGTTGGTAGAGCGCTCGCCTAGACTGCAGAGTGTCGTGGGTTCGAATCCCACCCAGGACAGCTCTTCTTCAAAGAGCTGTCCTGGGTGTAGTTGACTTGTTTGCCTTGCCTTGCCTTTCTTCCTCGCTATATACCAAGTTCTTGAAACATGCGGTAGTTGAGTTGAAACTATTTCTCTTCTAACAAGGTTGTCAGAGGAGGCGGGTAGGCTGCAGTCCACTCTGGAGGAGGCTGAGAAAGAGAGAGCTGCTGAGTTGAGTGAGATGACGGCCAGACAGGCCCGGCTCTCCGCTCACTGTCAGGGTCTGGAGAGAGAGAGGGAGGAGAGAGATGACCAGACCGGGGAACTGGTACATATTATATGTAGTATATGCATTTATGTAGCTACTGTCACATTCTAATGATCAGGATGACTTGAACTGATGTAGTGTAAAAAAGACCGATGTTCGTTCGTAGTACCTTATTATGCAGAAAATGATATTTGCCCTCATTTCCTATTTCTGCGTCTTACAGATGGAGCAACTGACCAATCAGCTGGCAGAGAGTGGTGTCCACGGCGACCAGCTAGAGGCGGAGGCCCAGCAGTTGCGTCAACTGTTGGACACGAGGTCACATGACTTACAGTCAAAGTCACGTGACCTAGACTCCGCCCAATCACAGCTACATCTCTCAAAGATGGCCCAGGCAAAACTTGAGCAACAGGTGAAGGACCACTAACATTTTTAATGGATAGCGAAAAAAAATTTAGATTACCCTGAAAAATTGTAGGTTTCTGATTTGGATGCTAAAGTTTTAGCGCTGAACGAGCAGATAAGAGCTCGAACTGAACTGACCAATGAGATGAGAGCTCTTCTCGAGCAGCGAGCCAATCAGATTCAAGAGCTTGAGACGATTGTCTCACAACAGAGGGAGGAGCTGATGTCTGTCAGTAGCCACACCCACCTGTCAGCTAGCCACACCCACTTCCTCTATGGTGACTCCGCCCATATTACACAAGCCACACCCATACAATCGTAAGTCAATTACCTCAAATTTGCCTCTTGAACAATTTTGAAGGCATGCTACGCAGCAAGAGTTTTTGTGGTATAATCAGTAATTTTAGTCCCTATAGTTCTCGTCCAATTTCCCCCGAGCCACACCCCTCGACCACGCCCACCACTAACGAGGTGTCTCGTCTCAGAAAGCAGCTGGCGGAGAGTCGAAGTCGTGTCCTGCAACTGGAGTCGTCCTGTGAGGAAATCAGGACACAATCGGCCAAATACCTTGGATCCCTGCAAGCACTCACTGCGATACGAGACAGACTGACTGAAGAGAGTAAGTCACTCTCGGAGGGAAAAAGACGAGCCGAAGAGGGTCAAAGGTCGGCCGAGGAGGGGAGTCGGAGAGCCGAAGAGGGTCGGAGGGTGTTGTCACGGCAACTGTCATCGTTACAGGGCGTTGTTACTGGGCTGAGGTCGCAGGTCGCAGAGTTGAAGGGAGAGAAAGAGGAGGCAATGGTGAGGAGAGGGTTAAATGTGTGTTGAGCTGTCAGTGTTTTTAGTGCATATCCCAAAGAATGGTTTTTTAAAAGTACAATTGTCACTAATATCTGAGCTGTAAAGTTGTTTATGAAGTATGGCATCCAAAAAAAGCCATAAGTTTCTGCTTGTTCAAAATTTTTGTGTCATTAGTCCCAGATCTCGGAGTTGCAGGAGGCGTTTGCAGAGAGAGAGGCTGAGCTGGCCGAGGAGCTGGTTGCCATGGAGGATCAGAGCATCGCCGCCAGCGAGACGGGAGAGGTGGAGAGAGACTATCTCCAATTAGAGCTCGCCAAGTCCCGGGCCAAGAACACGGAACTGGAGCAGAGCCTTCTCAGCCTTCAGGTGAACTGAATTCATGAACTGTTTTGAACAAAATTGAATGTTACTAAGGGTTAAATTTAATAAAATAACGTGCTGTACTAAGCTTTGTCTCTGTATTAATGGGTGCCATTGTTGTGCATAATTTAGTAAAAGAGTATGTATTTTTTTAACTGTAGAAAGTAATGGAGAGAGAAAGAGATGAGTTGCAAAGTGAGGTGGAAAAATGCTCGTCTGACCTTTGCACCCTGAGAAGAGGCGACACCCAGGTCCGGGAAGAGTGCCAGCTGACGGCGGCCGTAAATGCCAAACAGACCAATCAGATTGCAGAGAGAGAGGGGCATGTCTCGGACCTGCTCGGCGAAGTGGAGGTGCTGCGTGCGAGGAAAGTCGTCATGATGAAATGGCTCTGTGACACCGAGGGGGAAAAGTATGCTCTGCTCTCTGCACTTTGTACACCTGTTTGTGTAAATCGGGTTATCGACTGCGTTTTCCCATGATATTCATGATGATTAGTTGGCCTGTCCTTCCCCCCACTTGCTTGCTAAAAGTACAAACAATTTAGGCCACCCTATTCTTTCACTGCACTCTCCAGCTATAGTCAAGGTATTCAGTATGGTTAGTTGGCCTGTCCTTCCCTCCACTTGCTTGCTAAAAGTACAAACAATTTAGGCCACCCTATTCTTTCACTGCACTCTCCAGCTATAGTCAAGGTATTCAGGATGGTTAGTTGGCCTGTCCTTCCCTCCACTTGCTTGCTAAAAGTACAAACAATTTAGGCCACCCTATTCTTTCACTGCACTCTCCAGCTATAGTCAAGGTATTCAGGATGGTTAGTTGGCCTGTCCTTCCCTCCACTTGCTTGCTAAAAGTACAAACAATTTAGGCCACCCTATTCTTTCACTGCACTCTCCAGCTATAGTCAAGGTATTCAGGATGGTTAGTTGGCCTGTCCTTCCCCCACTTGCTTGCTAAAAGTACAAACAATTTAGGCCACCCTATTCTTTCACTGCACTCTCCAGCTATAGTCAAGGTATTCAGGATGGTTAGTTGGCCTGTCCTTCCCCCCACTTGCTTGCTAAAAGTACAAACAATTTAGGCCACCCTATTCTTTCACTGCACTCTCCAGCTATAGTCAAGGTATTCAGGATGGTTAGTTGGCCTGTCCTTCCCCCCACTTGCTTGCTAAAAGTACAAACAATTTAGGCCACCCTATTCTTTCACTGCACTCTCCAGCTATAGTCAAGGTATTCAGGATGGTTAGTTGGCCTGTCCTTCCCTCCACTTGCTTGCTAAAAGTACAAACAATTTAGGCCACCCTATTCTTTCACTGCACTCTCCAGCTATAGTCAAGGTATTCAGGATGGTTAGTTGGCCTGTCCTTCCCCCCACTTGCTTGCTAAAAGTACAAACAATTTAGGCCACCCTATTCTTTCACTGCACTCTCCAGCTATAGTCAAGGTATTCAGGATGGTTAGTTGGCCTGTCCTTCCCCCCACTTGCTTGCTAAAAGTACGAACAATTTAGGCCACCCAGTTTTCCAAAGCCTTATTATGGGATGCACTCTCCAGCTATAGTCAAGGTTTCTTTGGCAAATCCTTCCCTTTACTTCCTTGCTAAAAGTACGAAATGTTTAGGCCAGAACAAATCTTTTCCAAGTACCGTCTCTATTCCATGTCATTCAGAGGTCTGAGACTGGAACTGGAATCGGTCCGTGAGGAGTTACGAAACTCTCTAGAGGCCCATGGTGCAGAGATACTGTCGCTGACCCAGCAGCTAGTGGCCGAGAGGGAGAGAAGGGAGGAGGGGAGGGAGAGAAGGGAGGGTGAGGGAAGATCACTAGTGGAGAGGAGAAATCAACAAGTATCCAGCGGACGCAGAGCTGAGCGGCTGAGGTCTCGACTCAGGAGTCAAGTAGAGCAGAGCAACTATCTCAGAGTTAAACTAGGTATGACACAATCTCACTAACCTTATCCTATTTCAACTGCTCCCTTCACACCTCTCCGCTGTACCAGTATATAATGGTTTTGCATTTTTTGTACGCACACGAGTAAACGAAATGACAAACCAACCATCTCTAGTTCATTGACTATAGTTGGAGAGTGGAATCTCGTTGTACCTATCCTTATCTATCTCTGCTCACTTAACCATAGCATTTTTCTACCACTCTGAATTCCAAATAATGCCCACCACAGGCTACACTCTGAAGGAGTTGCAGCTGTACAAGGATCTGAAGTGTCAGCTAGACAGCCAGCTGTCGCAGCAAGCCTCAGAAATGGCCTCCCTCCAGGAACACTACTCAGACTGCCTCAGGCAACTACAACAGGTGGAGAGACTCGGTTTCCAGGCAACCGTCTCCCCTAGCAACTCACTGGTCGCCACGGATACAAGTCACCTACACCTAGTCTAAATCTCATTCTCCACTAATCTCATTTTAAACTTTGTCTCATCGTCATGATGATGTCATTATCAGCTCATCCTTTCCTGCCTTTGACTCTCTTCCTAATATTGGTGTACATGTTTATTGCAATGTTTCACATGTTACTAATTTTAGACTAAATTATTGTTGACATCATTTTTGACCTGTCATTCATGTTGTTTTTGTACAGTTGTCATAATATTAATGGTTCAGCCATTAAACGAGGGAGGGTTTCTGCAGAAATAGTCAAAGATTCTACGTAACATGGTGGAGACAGCCAAGGGTCTATAAGAGGGTGCGATTATAGTGGAGATGAGTGAATCAGAGAATGAAGAATTGTTAGTGAATCGCAGATTGTTTTTCAGCTGCTCGTCAGCCAACTTTTGCTTTCTTCGCATCTTCAGGACTGCAAAACAATGAGAGAAAGTGTATTTTTCATGACAGGGAGAGAAGAGGGACAGTTTGACTTACGCTCCAGGGGCAGGGGACGAGGCTGGTCGCTTGGCAACAGCAGCAGCTGCCTTGTCAGCAGGTTTTGGGTCTTGTAGCCACCTGACCTGGGTGGCCGGTCCGTAGCTGGAGGAAGAGAGACAAGAGATGGAGATTTACACGCACACCTTCAAAATAAGAGATGTAGCTTAGAGGCATCGGAAGTGTCCTTAGTCAGACGTTTTCCTAAATGAGAAGTATTACTAAATTTAGTAGAAACACGTGTCCTTCATTTGGAGATTCCACTAGATTCCAAATGTTGCCCACCCCTTGTCGTTCTTGGCGGCTATCCTGAAAATGATGGCAGGTTTAGACGTTGTGTCCACGTGGGCTGAGGCGAGTTGGGTGTGGCTGACGACACAGGAGCTGCCTGGACCGCAGTAGACGCGGGCGAACGCCATGGTACCAGGCTGGGACCCAGGTTGAGGTTTGAGACCGAGATACACGGAGTACTCGGTAATGGTTCCAGCTGAGTTGGCCGGTGGCTCCCAGGACAAGTGAGCGCCTTCCGAACTCTGGATGGAGCGAGAGAAAGAAGAGAGACAGTTGAGAGAGATGGAGGTAAGGAGGAAGGAATAGAGACACGAGTTTTGATAGCGCATGAGGCCGCAGCATGAGGGAACCAACGCCACTAGTAAACCAGTAGAGAGAAGGAAATTTTTTTTACTGGTAACCTTCTGTATGTAGAGTAAAAAACTGTAGAATTAGTCGGTTAAACGTATTGATGGAAAAAGCAGGTAAAGCATAGTGAAAGGGTCAAGAAAACAGGGAACAAAAGGACTTTAAAAGGAAGAGGGAGATATCTACAATATATATAGAACCAAGTTTAGTACCTTGCTGATCCTAATAGCAGAAGGAGCTCCCGGGAATCCTGGCATACATGTCTTGAACGCAGCCACGTCAGAAAATGGTCCACTTCCGCACGAGTTAATGGCACACACTCTGAACTTATAGGCCTTGCCTGGTTGCAGCTCTACCTTCTGCATCTTGGGGGTCTGCCCCAGGTGCTGTTTATTGTCCTCCGTTTCCACGGGAACCTGGTACCCGCTGACCGTGTACTGAGTCGTCTTGACGACGTCGATGTCGTACCACTGAGGTATGGCTTCCTTTTGTCCGGTTGCCGGGGCGACGACGCCAGGTTCTGATTGGCCGGATTCGGCTTTGATTGTTGTTCCCTCGACTTTTGGTTTGGGAGCTGGAGGAGTTGTGTTGTATTGTTGGATCTGAAGTAAGTAGCAGTCAGCTGGATGGGAGGGAGGGAGGGAAAGAAGGAGGGAGGGAGGTCTGTAAAATCAATGTGTCAGTACATAATTACTAAATATGGAACTAAACAATAGGGCAATTAGGATTCCATTTTTAGTAACATTATGTTTCTAACTTTTGTTTCCACTCACACTCATATCTGAGTGAATAATAGCTAGACTCTCCACGAGTAAAGCCCAGCCCCAGAAAAAGAAAAGAAGAGAAAGAGTTAGAAAAACGTCAAATGTGACGTTAACATCACTGCTAGCAGGTCTGTATTGAAAGCGCAAGCACTCCATGACCTTCAGGTACGGCATTATGGCACGACCTAGTAATACATTGTGTGGTTCTCACCAGAGGAGATGGTGGTCCAGAGGAGTTCCAGGGAATTGGTACCGGCCCTGACCAGCTGGACCCGCGTGGGGGCAGGCGGGATCTCCGTCTCCAGGTACCACAGGTCATTGCAACACACCTGCCGACAACATGAACCTCTATGATTTGCAAGTTTATTATTCCCTCTCCTTTTCTAAAACTGGGGGCCAAATAAAACTGTTCTGCCCCCCTGTAGAAGTCGTGGTAAACGATCAACTACTTACGTAAAGAAGCTAGGATCGTGCACAATCATGTTTATCTTCTCACACCTTCCCCCTCCCCCTCCTCCTCCTCCATATATACCTGAGTGTTCCAGACTCTCTTGTAGGCATCTCGTCCGCTCCAGACGTACATCCTTGTCCCCACGATGGCGGCACAGTGACCGGCTCGCGGGCACGGGGCCTCCTCACTCTCCTCCACCTCCTTGTACGATGGACACAGCTCCCATGACATTGAGTCTGCAGAATGACAAATGAAGAAATTCACACATCAGCCGCGAGATGCGGACACAGAAGTTTCTTGCAAATCAGAGCTGTCATTAACAGCAGTGTTCTCAAAGAGAGAAATTTACTTCGCTTAGAAGGAATCTTATGATTGAGGGGAAAATGTAGTTTACTATTCGTACTTAAACCAAAAAACATATTTGTCATGGTTTCTAGCAACTGGAATATAGCAACATCGACTCTAAAATCAAATGAAATGAGTGAAGAGGATTTGGAGTGAGGAGATGAGGCCCCACCCACCAAGATTAAGGCAGGAGATAGTGTTGGCACATTTCCACTCGGTCTCGTGTGACGGTACAGCTCCGTCCTCGCCCAGCACGGGCACCCACCCGCCAAACGAGAAAAGCCTGTTTTTGATGACGGTCATGGAATGTAGGCTGCGAGGAAGGGGGGTGGGGCCCTGCGTCAACACGCTGTTCCACTGCATTTGGTCTGGGGGAATGGAAACACCAAATCAACAATGAAATGTACATGGTTGTAAAAGAAACCACACCCACCAATATCAAGGATCCAAACATCGCCAAGGCGACGGCCGTTCATCCCGCCGTAGATGAGAAGTCTGTTGTTGCCAATGGTAACGGCTGCGTGGCTCTCACGGGGGGAGGGTGAGGGACCGTCAAAGACCGGACATTGCCACTGGAGACTAGTCCCCTCGCGGATCTCCAGATAACTCAGGTCATTCAGATACCTGGACATTATGTACAACACGATGTACTGATACTCCAACTCTGTCTTATGGGTTGGAATCCATACTGTGAATCCACACAATAAAAGCCACACTTACACCTATTATTCTTGCAAAAACTGATTTCCCATATCCTGAACCGAAGAATCTCCTATACACCCGTTCTATCAGAATCCCGATTCAAACACTGTCACTTCACCCATTCTACTGGCATACACCAATTCCCATGTTTCCATACACCCATTCCACTGACTTGGGAATGTTGAGTTTGGGATCATTGGATTCATTTGCCAGTCCTCCAAATATGATTGCCTTCTGTCCCACCAGATTGAATGAGTGGCCCAGTCTCGGGCAGGGGGCGTCGCCCAGCGGTGTCAGTCTTCGCCACTCCCACCGACTTGCCAGGAGCTCGTACAGCTACACAGATCACATGACAGCCACGTGATTACAAAGGTGATTCTTACGTCATTGGAGTAGCGTCCGAATTCCACCATTCCGCCAAAGATGAGGAGTCTGACTCCGTCACAGATGAAGCCAAAGGCGGCACATCCGGTCGGCTTCTCTCCCCTCACCTGAGGCGCAAACCATTGGTTGGTGGCTGCAGAAATGAGAGATAGACCGTCAACGTTTCCGCATGCGCTAAATAACGGCGCGCGTGCGCTAAGGATACAGGCATGCGTATTAGGGGGGAAATGGCGGACTTCTTTCAATGCGTAGTCTCGTGCACGCAATTCATTTGGCGACAGCAAAACCAAAACTAAGCAAAATACTCGGTATTTCCCAAACGCAACTTGTTCCGAAGGCTTTCCAGCCTGTTTTGTGTTAGGCGCGGTGGGCGCTACCAGACCTGTATTGAGCACATGGAGCTCGTCGATTATGGCGTCGTTCCCGCCGCCGAAGATGATGATGAGTTCCTTGATGGCCACGGCGCGGTGTCCGTGTCGCGGCTTGGGCGCAGGACCCGTCGTGTTAGCGATCCTCTTCCATTTCAGGTTGAGCGGCTTCTCAGCTGCGGGGCGAGCGCCGCTGCCCTGCTCTCCCTCCACCGCCGTCGTGGTGGCCATCTTTTGCACGCACGCACCGCTTTTTCGGGCTAGGGTTGATCTACGCATGCGCACATGCCGCACCGGTTTCGAAGTGGGCATTATTTAGAAATAGCGAGCGAGCACTATTTAGAACTTGTCCACTACGCATGCGTATGACTTAAGCGTAATTACTCGCCACTTCTGAATTTCCAAAATAATATCAAAAATTTTGTGGTCAACAGACACATCATCTAACATTAGATTAATTATACAGAACTGAATTGAGAAAGAAAAAAAACGCTACATGGAATGAGAGTTAGGGAAGAGTCTTCGATCCACGTCAACGTGGAATTAGACCAGGGTTCCCCCATCATTAAAAGGGTTAGTTTCTCGTTTGGCGAGGTCGTGAAGGAACTCCTGGATCTCTGCTGTTTCTTCATTTCTTCGCCTCGGCATTGGGACCGCCGCCGGTTTAGTCGAGCTGTGCTGATGCTGTTGCCCCTGGCGATAGGCCCCGCCCTCTTCCCGGTGAGAAGTACGATTCGTGCTTTCAGTGTGAGGTTTGTGATGGTGTGTGTGGTGCTGCTGGTGATGCTGGTGACTCATTCCCGTTCCATCGTACCAGGGTGGACTGGTGACGGCTGACTGAGGGTTTGCCCCTATCATTCCAGACCGGTAATTACCCTTGCTACCGGAACCGGGCCGAGAGGGTGGATTGGAATGAGCATTACGACTAGGGGTTCCCCCCGAGTGATATGAGTTGGAGTAAGAGTGTGCCGTTGGTTGTTGTTGTTGTTGTTGTTGCCGATAGTGATAGTGTTCGGGGGTTGGGAGGTACATATCTGGACTGTTTGACCGTGCCCGCTGGTCGCCATGGAGATGACGAGTTCCGATATCTGGGGACGAGGTTCGTTTGATGGGGGACGAGGAGAAATGGGGAGGGAGAGGGAAATGGGTGCGCAGTTCTGGGCCGGACGTCTGGCGCGGAGAAAGGTGGTAGTCGTGACGAGCAGTGGTGGGCGGAGTCACGTCTCTACGGGAACGCCCTGAGAAATGCTGGAATATTTCGTCAGTGAGGTCAAATTCCGGCAGACCTCCGTGGTTGCGTGGGGGAGCAGCGAGACCTGCGGAAACAGGGGTGAGAGGAGGAGGAGAAAACATGTCCTCCGGCGGGCGATACGACGTGCTGCGATTGTGATACTCCCGAGAATTATGCGGAGCTAAATGGGGATGCCCCTGGTAATTAACGTGAGCCCCCAGAGTCGACGTTGTCATGGGAACGTCCTGGAGGTCGGTGAGAGCGGATGTACTCTTGTGAAGAGGGGATTTCTGGAGTCCGCTGGTAGAGGCGGGGTCATGGGGGGCGGGGTGTGAGGGGGAGTCCCAGATGAGACTGGCAATCATTGTGTCGTCAACGCTCCCTCCACTGTGTCCCATTCTGGATCCACCCAGAACAGAACCCGGTACCGCTGCCGTAGTGTGGGCTGGAAGATACATACGTACATAATCACAAGAGAAATTTCGAACACCCATTTATACTAAAATGACTAACAATTTGCAGGGGTAAAGAGTATACTGTAACAAGACATTGTAAAGTAATGTGTCCTACAGATTAATGGGTATATGTACTTAGCAAATGCTTCTTGATCTGTGTAAAATAATGGTTCTCACTTTTTGCCACAATTCCCACATAATTAGTAATATTGCAAGAGACTTCCAACAAGATTATCACACATACTATAATATACACAGTCAATTCTCCTCCTCACCCTCGATGGGAGATTCAACATGAAACCGTGAAGTCGACGCCCCGCCCCCGCCGATCCCCCTCCTCTTCATCTGCTGCAGCTTGTCCTCGAGAGCCTGGTAGCGCTCCAGGGCATCTCGGATCTCCTTCTTTCTATCTTTCTTCAGTCTGCGAGTGTTGGCCTGCGACAGCAGTGTCTGCAAGTGGTCGAGAGGTGTAGTTAAGTGGCATCACGTTGCATTAAGTGGTGTCAGATTGCACTAGATTGCATTTAATGGTGTCAGTGGTTGAATGGTGGTTAAGTGGTGTCAGATTGCATTAAGTGGTGTCAGATTGCATTGAGTGGTGTCAGATTACGTTGAGTGGTGTGTCAGATTACAAACCTTGGAAGCTTCAATGATGGAGGATTGAACTTCGAGTTGTTTTTCTAGTTCCTCGACTTCTGACGTCCCCTGAACAAAATGAAATATAGGAAATTTCGACAACTACATTGTTTAGAAACAAGGGGAAAAGTTGCAGACTACTTGTCAAAATGGTACTTTTTCGTCGTCTATATAAGGACACTCACAGCCGTGCTGTCGTCCAGAACAAATTTTGAAAATTTGAAGCTCACTCCGAATTCTTCCTAT